TGTAACAGAGAAACACTGGGGCATTACCTAACACTGTGAACATCCCAAAACACATCAACACTGGGGCCAGTGACAACATGTAACAGAGAAACACTGGCTCCATCCTAAGAAGCTACCAGCCAAATTTGATTGCTATATATACTTTTCAGTTCTTCAGAAGAAGACGTTTGAAGTGTTTGACATATTTGACACCTGTAACCTTGAAAGCAGGTTGAGGTCATTTACATTCTCAAACTTTGTCGGGCTTTATCCCAGGAAGCCACCAGCTAAATAAGAACATTCTATACCTTTCAGTTCTTCAGAAGAAGTTGTTTGAAGTGTTGACACATTTGAACCCTGTGACCATGAAAGTAGGTCAAGGTCATTTTCGTTCTCAAAGTTTGTCAGGCTCTTACCAATGAAGCTTTCAGCCAAATATCATGACTTTAGGCCTGTCAATTCTTTAGAGAAGTTGCTATAAAGGAAAAGTTTACAGACGACGACGACTGACAGATGGACTAACGACAGATGCCTCGCCATGACATAAGCTCACTTGCCCTTCTGGCAGGTGAGCTAATAACTGCATATTTTGGAGAGGTTGAATTAAAAATGAACCGGTTAATCAACAAACAGATATGATACATATATTTGCGACATTATTTCATTTGTGTGTGCTAAGTAATTAATCTCGAGTTGAAATAATTTCCAGGACAATATCACATTGGCATTTTCACAGATAAATGTGAGTTTTTCCTTTATAATAGAACTTCGTTGTAAGTTTCGAGAGGATAAAGTTGAATACTAAGAATGTACCGGTATCTGTTTGATTCTGTGACAGGATTGAATCATCCAGTTTTATCATCATTTAGGGATTTTAATTTAGCAAAGTTATTATTTAACAGATACAAGAGTACCATTTGCAAGTAGACTTAAATACCGATAAACTCCCAAAAAGAATGTGTGATATCAATGCCACATTAATGCTGCTTATATACTCATACAATTTATACACTGATTTTAATAAATAACTCATTGAAACGAAAAACCCAACTTATTAAGCATTTACTATGTACCAGTAGTATGCAGGATTGTCAAATACACCACGTACAACAACATCCTGAGTGTCTGACCGTGTCAGCTCTTGGATGAATGTTTTCAGAAGGTTTCTTATTTATTTTTATTTTTTTTGTCAACAGAATGACAGCAAACAAAATGTTACAGATCAACAAAATGTCTCTTATAAAGTTTGGTTCCACCTTTAAATTATATGCAGGAGGAATCGATGTTGCTAACTTTAATAAAATAAGAAGACTTACTTCCTCATTATTTGGAGATCCACATACAAATTAAACTTTCACCAGGACAATTAGTAAAGAAGTTCTTACCCACAATAAAGGGCTGCCTTTTGCCATGGTGATCTGTTGTCAGAAAATTTTCCAACTTTATCTGCAAATTCTATAAATTGGCAGCAACATGGTGCTTCAAATAAAACTACTATGAATCCAACTAACCTGCAAAAAAAGACCAAAAATTCAGTTAATTTCTAAATTGATATATATTTGCAAAAAAAATACAATGGAAAAATTTGGACCTTGATTATATTAACTCTTAAATTAGGAAATGAATAGCACTTGTAATACCATGGTAATTCACTGCTGATAAATTACATTATATGAAGTAAATGAAAGGGAGATAACTTGCACAAAAGTGAGTATGGTAAAACAAACACTGTTTTATTTTAGTCAAAAAATATCTTCACATGAAATTGGGAATGAAAGTATATGATTTATCAAAGTTGAGCTAAATGTGTAATCAAATCAAGTATCTGCATGACATGATAAATAGTTTAAGATAAACAGATGAGTTAACAGTCAACCTGTGCAGAGTGCAATGTGGGACATTAATTATTTGACAAAACAGAATGAGTTTTATTTCATGTACATCCTAAATGCATTTGAAGATTTGTATACTTACATCTGTAAAACCCCAGCTACAATGCAGGTTGCAGATAATGATATACAGGTAACTATCCCAGTAATCATGGCAACTAAAACCAAAACAAAACAAATCAAAGTACTGAAAATCCTGAGATGGAAAGAAAAATAGATATTCAAGAAATTGCACAAAAAGGTACATAACTCACATTTAACCAAAAGAGGCCCAATATGCCTGCATTGTTCTGTATTGCAGGCTTTTATTGCATACTGAACAATTCCTATATACGTGAACTTCATTGTGGGTTAAAGGTATATACACTTAGAGGTCACTGCATGTCTTCCCATTTTGATGTGCACATGAAATGAAGTGTTTTTTTCATGATATACTCACATACCAAGTCTGAATTTCATACTCTTGACACAGTTGCAATGTTATATTCTGGAAATCTGTACACCTGAGATTAAGGTAAAAAGAGGTCACAATACCCTTACTTTGGTATGTGACAGGGTGCTTTCTCTTGATGGTACTTACTTAACAAGTTTGAGGTCCATGCATCAAAGAGTGTTGAATAATGCTTCAAAAATATGAACCACTTACACTTACACTTATCCAGTTGAAACTAGTCAGATGGCACAGAATATATTTGCAATAAACTGACACATTTTAGCCAATGGCAGGCTGGACTAAGTGCGGTTGGGTTATTTACAGAAATAGACTGGAAAGGAGTTGATTCACATAAATGGAGAGCAGTGATTTTGTTATCATTATTTTATGGCCACCCATGGCTTTTAAATTGGGAAAATCCAGCGACATTTTTGGGAAAATTAAGAAAATACATTATCATACAAATAATACTGATTTTGTCAAACAATGCATAATATTTTTGTTATACATGTACATGTGAAATAGGAGAGGAAAAATGCACGACCAGACCAGGGTTCAAACCCGGGACCCTCCCAACTCTAAACGGCACTCTACCAATTGAGCTAGCTAGTCCCTGACAATCAACCAAATCCAGTTCCATTACACATATCAGAGAAATGGACTTTAAATTGACTTTATTTCAAGAGAATGCATTTTATCACCAATTTGAGACATATGTACATGGTCATAGGTTTTTTCTCACTTAGAACATTTATTTTATGATCCAGTAGGTGTACATGTAAAAGACTGTGAGTTTAATTTATCTGAAACGAATTTTAATTTATTTTGTTTTCAAAGTCATGCAATATTCACGGCACGATTTTCTATGGAGATAAATTATCAAAACTGAGAGATATGGGCAGTAAATTAGTACAACTTTTTTTTTATCATGCAATAGAGGTAAAATGCCAGTTTAAAGCCCCATTTCGGTAAATACCCCTTCCCGACTAAGTGGCAGTAGATTGTCAAATTAACTCATGATTAAGCCCCGTATACAATACTGTAGGTCTGTGAAAATTTGAGATTGCATAGACCTCACCAAATCCTCATAAACCATGATTTTCAATTTCATTAATCGGTCCGAGAAAATATGCATAAAAATGTCTTGATGTTTTTTGATTATTTACTCCTAGATTAACAGGTCTAGTACACTCTGCCGATTGAGCTATATAGCTGTAAAGACCTATAATAGAATCTGAAATAGGTCTTTCGAGCTATTTTTATGTGATTTTCTTTTTGAAGGAAAACGAAACAAAGTCGCTTTTTAAAAAGATTTTATCATTACATTAAATACAAGTATTCTTTTTAAAAAATAATGATGTAAAAAAATCGGAAATTTTACATTTATGAAAAATGGAAAAAAAAACACATCTAAATGTATACTTTTTGTAGTCCACAATACCATAAACCTTATTGTTTTATGCGACTTTGCTTCGATTTAATGAAAATTGAAATATGAGAAAGTATAGCTCAATACAGCTATTATGTATTGGTGAATATAGCTATATACAGCTGATATAGGTCTTTATAGCTATATAGATCAATCGGCAGAGTGTACTGGACCTGATTAAGACATGTATAAATTCATATAAAAACAATAATAAAGAAAAATTCAATCGAAGAACCAGGTGTGTATTACTTTACTATTGTTACATGTAGTATCATAAAAAAGGAGGAGGAGAACTGATCAATACATCATTATCAGCGGTTCAGTACGGTCCAGTATATACTTACTTAGGCCCCCTATTGTGCCTGTTGATTTAACGAGTATTCTGAACCACCATGTGGTCTGATCATTTTGTGGTGGTGGTGGTGGTGGCTGCTGGGCGTTTGGTTGCATTTTGAAAAGTCTTTTTCTCTTTACAAGCAGTCCAGATGTATTTTAATCACATTACTCAGACCCGTGTGCCTTTGACGTGTTCATTGATGTTTTCAATCATAGAAACTTCCGGTGTAATAGAGTGCTCTCCCTTCCGAAGTGATCTTGATCTTTTGAATGTTTGTTATCCTAAATGCGATAAAATGGTACAGAAACACTTTTAGCTATCATAAGCAACTAAAACTCGCTATGCCTAAGCTTGTATATCATTATTTAGCTTCCTATAATTAACGAGATTAAAATACAAATTTCAATATGTTATCTTTATTCTAAGTTTTCATCTTTGTTGCAACTGTTAAATTTGACATAAAATACTATGTTTTTAAGTGATTTACGCAGAGATGTATTATACGTCTCTGATTTACGGTATTTTAGTACTATATGTAAAGAGAGGTGAAATTATTTTACGAAAATGTTCATGGTATTATTGAAGAGTACTCGTCCTCTGAGCCAAAAGCTTATTGGAGACTCATCAAAAGGTTAATGAACTCGTCTGGTACTACACAATCTATACCTACTACTGTAGATCCTATTTCTGACAATGTGGTTACTAGTGACGAAGACAAAGCTCATTTATTAAATGACTCTTTTTGTAATATAACTCGTGTAGATGACAGAAATACTGCGGTTCCTCTCATCGAGCCAAAAACTGGCAAGAGTCTTAGGTACATTAGAGTCAATGATAATGAAATACGAGATATTTTGCAGATATTGAAGCTTGGTAAGGCCTCGGGTGAGGATTGAATCAGTCACCATATGCTAAGAAACACATCAGAAACAGTTTGTGTTCCCCTTGAAATCATTTTTAATATGTCTTGATCGCCTGGTTTTTTGCCTGGTCATTCTACTGTATATCAGCTCATTGAAATTTATCATAACATCTGTATTGCTCTAGGGGGGAAAACATGAATGTATGGTATTCTGCGATATTTCTAAGACTTTTGATCGGGTTTGGCATAAGGGTTTGATGATTAAGTTAAAATCCTATAGAATTTCAGCGGAATCGTATCATTGGTTAGAAAATTACATATTTCAGAGAGCCTTTTTGAATAATTCTTGCTCCGACTTAGGTTTCATTTAAGCAGGTATTCCTCAGGGTTCGAATCTTGGACCTCTTTTGTTTCTTATCTATATTAATGATTTTGCTGATGTGTTTGAATCAACCTCTCGTCTTTTTGCAGACGATACTTCTTTGTTAAAATCATCCTCTTGTTGTCTAGGAATCCAAACGGTTATGAATAGAGAGCTCGAGTCTCTTAATGCGTGGTCCAAACTTGGTTAGTAACATTCAATCCAGAAAAAACTGAAGTAATTCTTGTTTCAAACTTGGTCGAAATCGATAAAGATTTACAATTAAAATGTAATGGCAATTTTTTTAAAATTTACTGATCATCATAACCATTAAGATGTAGTTTTTAATTCAAGTGCAAAATGGGGGGATCATATTTGTGCAATATATACTTCAGTTATGAAAAAAAGTCTACGTCTTACGTAGACTAAAATATTTATAAAATTAAATCGAGATACTCTTTTAAAGATTTGTAAATCATTTATTTTACCAGTTTTAGAATATGCTTGTGAATTATCATATGGGATGGTTGTAGAACTTAAGAAGCAGAAATGTTAGAGAAAGTCCAAAGAGAAGCTCGTATTATAACTGGTCTTCCTTCATATGGCTGAATTGAAGACTTACTTTTTGAAACTGGTCTAGAAACTCTTTCGAATAGAAGAAAACGCAGAAAACTCCAACTTTTGTATAAAATGCACAACAAATTAACTCCGGACTATTTAAATTCTCTATTGCCATCTTCCGTTGCAGAAAATAACCGTTACATCATTGGAAACAATGATGATTACAGAATTCGTCCTTTCAGGCTTTCTCTAACAAATTCATCTTTTATACCTCAACTCTTCGCGGTTGGAATTCATTGGAACTTTCAGTACGATCATTGACTTCATTAAATTCTTTTAAAAAACTCGTTAGCTTCAAATGAACAATCTCCTCCACCAATCTACTTTGGTTTCGGTGAACGTAAATTGAACATTTAGCACACTAAACTTAGAATCAGTGTAGTTCACTTAAATATGATCTTTTTAGAGTAAATCTGGTTGATAGTCCAGTTTGTTATTGTGGCCATCCCTGTGAAAATGCCTTTCACTTTTTTTTGTGAGTGCTTACTTTTTAACAACGAAAGACACAACCTGCTCTAAAATGTGAATGCCTTGCATGTTGGTTTTAATTTAGAACTACTTCTGTTTGGTAACAGCACGGAATTAGATTAGAAATCCCTGTTCTCTAAGTCCGTGGTAATAGCACGGACTTAGATAATCTAATTTCGTGGTAATAGTCAACTTTCGGTAGAAAACAACCATAATTATCTTTAGACATGTGCATCATTACATAAAATCCAGCAATAGGTTTTGATAGATATAATTACTTTTCTATTTTTGTATAAGTTGTAATATATCATTTTTATTGTGTAATATATGAAATTGCATCCTTGATAATAATCCGTATAACTTGTTTCGGATTCGGTTCCGAACTTAGAAAAAATGCATAGGGCCGTTCCTATCATTAAAAATCATATACCATTGAAACTATCGGCACAATTTAGATTATGAAGTATTTAATCATTAGATACCTATTTAGTGTGATATGGATATGTAATTTTCAAATCAAACTAAATGATTATCCCTGCAATGTTTTTTGGAAAATATTTATTTTAATGATTTAAGCGACACTTGATAGAAAAGAAAAATGTCTGCAAAACAGAAGTAAGTAGTTCCTGAACAAAAATAGCTGTACCTGATATGTATTGCGATTTTAGCTACCGTTATATTTATCTATAAGAACGTGGATTCATTAAGAATTACTTGCATTTTTCTGAAGCAACGTTAATTTGTGAACTGTAAATTGTGATATTTATATTTGCTTAGAACTCGGGTTCTAAATGTGAATCACCATTTTCGACGGATAACATTACTGACGGTAAACGAAGAAAGAGTTGTGCTCGAATATTCAGCGAATTTCATTCAAACCAAGTAGCATTATTGGTAGAGGGACTGGGTACGTTTATAGTTTGGAAGGTCCTGGGTTCGAATCCTGGTCTGGTCATTGCATTTCTCTTTCTCCTGTAAGTATAACAAAATTGGAAGTAGCAGAACCGGACTACAGCGATCGCCGGTGACCAGGGAGCTCTATAGGTAAAGAATCTGTCTAGAGTTTGAAGAGTCCTTGGTTTGAGTGTCGGTCAGGCTGTACATTTTTTTTTTCTCTCCTTTAACATTTGGCACCCAACGAAAAATACACACGGAAGGTAGTAATAGGGTCTTATATATCTTTGGGGTAATTGCATTGAAAATCATTTCGGGGACTTTGTTCTCCAAGCATGTGTAGATCGTGATACAGGTCATTGACTGAAGTCATACTTGTGTATCACAGAAATTGTAACATATTTACTAGTGGTTTCGATGGAAGCTGCATTTACAGACTAGAGCTTTATTTGAAAGGTATTTTTTTATGTGTCCCGAAATAACGTTGGGACTCCCGAAACAACTTGTTACCGAAACATCAAGCATTCCTTTGTTAAAGGAGGGAGGCATATAGTGGAACTGGACAGTGTTGATTGCCTGTGACCAGGTAGCTTTATTGGTAGAGCATCTGTCTAGAGTTTGTAGGGTCCTGGTCTGGCAGTGCATTTTTCCTCTCCTGTTACATGCATATGACTTTTGTTAACTTAAAGACTTATGCAAAGTAGACCCTTTCGTCACAGTGTGGTAATTTATAATTACCTTTAACAGTAATTTGGCCCTGATGATTGGCTGCATTTGATGAACTTGGATCAGGGACAATCACTTGTTGATTCTCATAATTGATTTTGAAAAAACTATGATATATAATGGAATTTTCCAATAATGAAATTTCATGAAAAAAGCAAAATGATATGAACATTTCATTCAATGATTTTTCCACTGAAGACATAAACTGCATAAAACGAAAGTTTATCCAAGTATATTGCTTTAATTAAACATAAGTGAACTATATATCATGCCGCAATATTCATACCGTTATTTAAATAAACAATTCTGTTTTTCATTGCAGGGTACTAGTTTCACATGGTGCTGTTGTCTGTGATGAGTGTGAAATAGTTGGAGATGTAACTATTGGTAAGGAATACTATTAAAAATGAAAATATAGAAATGTTATCATTAGTAGACCTGATCTAGAACTAGAAAGAAGATTGCTTTCATAGTAGTGAGTGAAACAGCAATGTATCATTGAATAGGTTAGTGAAAGGTACACCATATCATTGTTAATAATAATTAATTGTTACACACACACATTTGGAGCTGTTTGTATCTACAAAATTTTACATTTAAACACTTACCGGTACATGTACATTACTTGCAAATTTAAATGAGTGAAATGTTTGAAGGTGGCGAAACTGCCTTCACCCAAATGTTGCTGTGTGAAGTCATTCATGCGTTTTTACAACAATTACTTTATTTATTTTCAGGTGCTCGCTCAGTCATTCATCCCAAGGCTCGCATCATTGCTGATGATGGACCGATTATTATTGGTGAAAATAACATCATTGAAGAGCTAGTCACAATTATCAATAGGTATTTCAGACTTCAGAGATATAGCTACAGAATGGTGAAATGTTCAGGTTTTTCCAACCTGTTTCATAATGATAAATTCTATATTATATATATAAATGTTGTTGGGACCTGTATTAGTTTGTTCTTTATTTTTAGCTGACTCTGGTTCAATATGAAAAATAGTGCCGGCACTATGATAGTGTATATAGTCCAAGGTACAGGTTTGTCTTAGGTTTCATGTAAGTGCATTTACAGTTTCATCTAATATGGTCATTGAATAAGATATATAGTTCACTTACAATGTACTGGAAATGTGGGTAAAAGATTGAGTCGGTTTATACATGTACCATGGTCACTGATTGGTAATGTAGGCATCTTGAGTGTCTCATTATTTGTCATAAAATATATTTATGATTATAAGGAATAGTTGCATCAGATAATCAGATTTCATTGTTTTCAGAAATCCAGCTGGAACAGATGCCAACACACAACAGGTGATGATCGTAGGAAACAATAACGTGTTTGAAGTTGGTTGTTGTATCCTTTTGCCAATGCTCAAAGTTTATACTCTATCGTACCATGACTTGTTTTATCCAACAATTAATATAGTGAGATAAAATAGTTGTATTTGTAACTAGTTGTACAATATTACAACTTCACTGGTATATACACATTAAGTAGGAGTTTGCTGTTCTAACTGACATGACTTGACATAAACCTACCTGTTGTAATTAGGGCCCCGTATCAGAGATACGGGTGCCCTATAGTAATCACTCTGTCTGTCTGTCTGTCTGTCCGTCCACAAATTTTGTTCCTTGCTGATAACTTTGGTATCTATCGTCCGATGTACATGGAACTTGGTCAAGATGTTCAGTTCAAAAAAAATACACATTCAGGTAAAAAGTCAAGGTCAAAGGTCAAGGTCATTAGGTTCAAAGGTCAAGGTCAAATTTTACATTTTTTCACTGATGAACATTTTGTTATGACATTATTAAGCAAAGTTGTTCGGAATTAAACAAAGAGACACACTGAGGTAAAAAAAAGTCAAGGTCAAGGTCATTAGATTCAAAGGTCAAGGTCAACTTTTGCATCTTTTCACTGATGAACATTTTGTAATGACCTGATGAAGCAAAGTTGATCAGAATTAAACAAGGAGTCGACTGACCAAAGGTCAAGGTCATTGGGTCAAAAGGTCAAGGTTAAATTTTGTATCTTTTCACTGGTAAACATTTCGCTATGACACTTTGAAGCAATGTTGCTCAGAATTAAAAAAGGAATCAATTGACCAAAGGTCAAGGTCACTGGGTCAAAGGTCAAGGTTACATATTGTACCTTTTCCCTGATGAACATTTTTTTATGACATTATGAAGCAATGTTGTTCAGAACTTAACACAGAGTCAACTGACCTTAGGTCCAGGTCACGGGGTCGTAAGAGTCAAGGTCAAGTTTTGTATTTTTCACTGATGAACATTTTGTTATGATATTAAGAAGTAAAGTTGGTCTGAATTAAACAAGGAGTCAACTGACCAAAGATTAGGGTCACTGGGTTAATGGTCAAGGTCATTTGGGTCCAAAGGTCAAAGACAAAGTTGATCTCTGACTTTGACCCTGGCTCTTGATGGAGGAGGTTTATAAGGTGAAATAAAACAAATCAAAGCTAACAAATGAGTGTTGCACTGGTATTTACATTTCTGTTAGCCCAGCAAATATGGAGGTGGAAGGAAACTAGACTCACATCATAGTACATGTAAAATGTATATTTTGCTTCCTTGCGATTCTTTTTGAAGTCTGAATGTCAAACTTCAAGCTCAGCTATGTGGGCAGATTGCATCTTGATGATTATCGGGGATATATTGCCACAAGACGGGGCCCTTACTGACCTGTCAGTGTTCTAGTTTGTAGTTGTAACCACTCTAATGGCCCAGTTTATATATGACACTATTTTTTATGAATAAATTAGAAAAATAGTCCCCTAGTGTATTTAGCATGTTTCATTTACAAAATGTGCATATAAAATATATACATTGTTGTGTTTGATGAAACACATATTATGAACTTGTTTAAGTTAAAAACTAAAAGTATCACTAATTTTCATTGTAACATGATGAAAATCTACATGTACATGTGAAACTTTTCATGTTATCTACTCAAAGAGAAGGTAAATAAAGCAATATAACAACAACGTCATAGGAAGGTAAGTGAACCTAATCACTTCTCCATGTAAATGTACCAACTGTTGTAGCTACCTTCTTTGGTGTGGAGCCCTATTGAATAACTTAGGTTTTGATACCAAAATCATCAGGAGTTACTTTCTATTTTCCTCACTGCTGTGTTTGTCTTTACTTTGACCTTGATCATGCTATATGTTGATTTGACCTTGACATTGGTGTAGATGTAGAAGCGACCAAGATTGGTGACCACAATGTTGTGGAAGCTAAAGGTGAGTTGGTTGTCTCTGTGATACCAGATAAACTCCATTCAAATTTAATGTTAAAATGTACTGTTCTTCATTGATAAGTACTGTTTTCCATTTTACTGTGTAAAAGTTGAATTTGAATTGTTTATGAAAAAGTTGTCAACCAAAAATTGTTTTATGGTAAATTAAGATTTATTTGATAATCATGTTTATTTTCTCGTTTTGAAACCCTTGTATTAAGAACTTCTAAAAGTTTTGGGGGTTTATGCAAGTTGCAATACATATGATGTACATGTCTTTTGTAACCTATAAAATCCAATGTTGTATTATTTTTTACAGCAAAAGTGGGTCGACAAGTTGGCTTAACGACAGGCTGTATAATCGGCTCCATGTGTTCACTAACTAGTAACGAGATATTGCCGGAGAACACAGTGATCTATGGCGAGGAGTGTGAGAGGAGAGTACAGAGAGAAAGACCTCCAGTAAGTTGTCTACAAGAAGCTTGTTATAAAAAGGAAATTAATCCAGTGGTAGGGATATGTGTGTCTTTATATAACAGCACTGATAAAACCTCCTTTCAAATATTGATCAAAGATTGAATTTTGAAACAAACAAACAAACCATTAAGTTGTCAGTGCTCTACAGTTTAGATATATCTGCAGCTTACATTTATGGTATTTTGAAACTTTCAAAATTCAGGGAATTTTTCAATAGTGATATTGAATAGACAACAGTATTAAAGTCAAGAACACTGTTATCGTACATATTTTAGCACTTTTCATGCTTACGCTGAAGTGACAATTTGTTATCACATTCAAAGATATTGTTTGTATTGAGCTGGTGTAGGTCTTAAATGACACATGCAGAAATTTCTGTTGTACTAAAGCTGATCAGTCTGTATCAAAGCAAATTCTATACAAATTTACATTACTGCTAGTAACAACTATTTGTGAAACCTACCTACATGTCACATGCCCCATTTCCTGCTTTGTTGGAGATAAAGCATTGAGCAAAGTCTAACTATAATATGGAGCTAAATGCTAAGTCAAATCAAAGTCAGTGAAGTGGAAGGTATAAGAGGTAAACAATGATCTACATTTAATATATTGGTGTAGTATTTAAATTCCTCATGGTGTATCAAGGTTTGAAATGTAATGGCTATCGGAGTAACGAAGCTCATTGCATAGAGTCTAGTCCAGCTATTAGACAAATGGATAGATAGTTAATATCCATTTGTCTATCCAACAGCTGGACTAACTGAAAGTCACACCTGGCTGTGATATATAAATGTGTCACTATTGCAGAAAATATGGCTGCCGATCAGCTGTCACATCTGGCTGTGATATATAAATGTGTCACCATTGCAGAAAATATGGCTGCCGATCAGCTGTCACACCTTGCTGTGATATATAAATGTGTCAACATTGCAGAAAATATGGCTGCCGATCCGCTGTCACACCTGGCTGTGATATATAAATGTGTAACTATTGCAGAAAATATGGCTGCTGATCAGCTGTCACACCTGGCTGCTATATATAAATGTGTCACTATTGCATAAAATAGGGCTGCAGATCAGCTGTCGCACCTGGCTGTGATATATAAATGGGTCACTATTGCAGAAAATATGGCGGCAGATCAGCTGTCGCACCTGGATGCTATATAAGAACATGTCACTAATGGCAGCATACATACTTTATCCCTTTGAACTTATTTTCCTATCTTTTTCTCATCTGCTGGAAAACAAACTACTTTGTAATGAAATTGACGTAAAACCATTCAAACAAACAAACACAAAATGGCAGAATATATAGCCACAAATCACAAAGCTGTGGTATAAAACATTTCACTGACACAGATTATATAGCCACAAATCATGAAGCTGTAGTATAAAACATTTCACTGACACAGATTATATAGCCACAAATCACAAAGCTGTGGTATAAAGCATTTCACTGACAGCAGAGTATGAAGACCCAGCTCAGCTGTTTCCCCCTGGCTTGCTGTCTCTACTGAAGCAGATTTAGTTAACTTCAAATTTGGAAAGAGCTGATGCACTGATATACAATTACTGTTTCTGTTTCTGATCTGATTATTTTACCAGATGATTGAAGCATTCTTGTAGGACTTTCTAGTGCTGAATATGTTTTGAATTTTGAAAATAACGAAGCTTAATATAATATTGATTTACAGACCCAGAATCTACAGATAGACTTTTTGACGAAGATACTGCCAAATTACCACTACATTAAGAAGACAAAATCCAGCACTCCTCAGCGCACATAATCTGACCTAACTAAGGAATCACAAAATTGTACATTAAATGATGAATATGATTTTGATATTTATTGAAATTCAAAAAACTAATTTATTTCTAAAAATATTGATATCATTTTCTGGTAAGTTGCAGTTTGCTAGATAGTCGATTCTAAAGTCAAGAACAAATGCAACTGTTCAAATACATTGACACTGGTTTATCATACTAGCTGTTAGTTTTCAACTGTTGTGTACATTTTTATCAATTCTGTGATTCCAATGTTTTGCAAAATGTATTTTTAGGTAAGTGTACCTTTCACTAACTTATTCAACTAAGCCTATCAATTCAGGTCTTAGTATTTTTCTATCTGAAATATAACGGAAAGTGTAATACAGATAAGTAGTTATTAATGTTAATATTAATTTTTTTTTTTTTTTTCAGGTGAACAAGTGCAATATTCCGATAGTCTAGGGAACTGAACATTTCTTGGATGAGTGGACCATTACATATATAGCTAGCTGCCATTGGTGATGGTTACAAACAGCAGACAGGAGAACATGTTATAAGGACCCCTTGGTTCATAGTGCCACATTCTCTTTACTGGAGGAAATTTTTAGTATAGTAATTTTGCAAATACATGTAATATGATTTTCCTCTTTGTAATACTGTAAGACGGGAAGTTTTCACAGTGTGGAAATATTACCGTTTTCCTGTTAAGCATGAAAATATCCATACACAAACATATATTTATAGATTATAGATTTATAGAGTACATGTTTATGTATAGATTTAAGAACCACTGCCAACAGGAAAAAATCCACAAAGTGATAATTTTAAAGAGTCAGCGTGAATATTTCCAGGTGTCAAAATTTCCTCTTTTACATCAAACTGGTCTGCATTTTGTATGTATCACGATTCTTTATGAACTGTTTGTTTTGGTCTTATCCAAACATCAGTGGAAGCTTATTCCATGTGAATCTTTGACTATCTACCAGGCATCTGATCTGTCAGTATTGTGTCCATTGCCTGTTTCCCACTTAATAATATAAACTTTCTTTAAGGAGCACCTGTTCGACATAGAGGGACACTAATCTATTCTCACACAGGTGATGTAGGCAGAAAAACCTGCCAGTATAGATTCAGTTAAACGAGACAAATCATAAAATGGCTAAATTAAAGTCTTGACAAGTGGTGCGGCAAGAAAAAATTAGTTAGCTTGAGTATCAAAGTTGTCTGCTAAACAGCATTTATTTTCTTATTTTATTGGAACATTATACAATATACCAATTGAGAAGATATATTTATTGTTTGTGGTGAACATTTCATTCTTTATACATGGTATAATGATATAACTATGATGTTGTGTTATTTGATCTATCTTTTACAAACAGTTTAAACTTTGGTGTGTCACCACTGACTATTTGTAAATATTTGTTATATTGTTAAGCTCTTGCACCACTTTTGAGTTTCACAAATATTTGAAAAATTTCAAAACATATAACTTAAGATTTTAAGTTTTCTGAATTGTCATACCAGTTCCTTATTTAGTACAAAAAGTTTGTGATATCAAATTGCTTGTATAGTATAGCATATTCATTTATGTAATAAATCATGCTCATGTATACTTTTGTTCTATTTTGTTTTCGATACACCACTCTTTATGACAGAAATTGACATGTAGATGACCAGTATTTGAAGACTGTCACTTTGTGTTGGACAATTAGTTCCCTTTGATGGAATTCCTATTTCACTTGAAGACATGTGAAATATTATTTATTTCTTTACAGAAATTAATATAAATGGGTTATGCTGTAAAAATTTAGGTACCTCAATAATATAAGGAGCATGAAGTATCAGGGGAACCTCGGCACCAATATGTCTGATCTGGACGTCCTGTATGTGTTCGTCAATATGTGTGTCCATTATACAAGGATCTGAAAAAAAGTGACGGCTATAAATGTATTTATTAGCAGCTCAATAGTTTACAATTGAAGGATTGGGCAGAGGGACTGGTTGTGTTACATAAACTCTTCTATAATGCATACGTACCAACCTGAAGAAACGTTTAGAAATTTTAAATTGAAATTGTTCAGTAGTGGTCAGACAGCAATATACATCCCTGAGATTTACATCATTGATGTAAAAATTGTTACAAAACTGAGAACATAATTTAAAGCATATCGCAGTACATTTTTATAGCACATATGCAGGCGTATACAACAGATATAATGATTCAGTAATATAAATATTGATATCAAATTGTATCCAGAACTTCAATATTGGTCAGGCAAGTTTGTGTATATAGGATAAGGCATGAGATTTTGAGTGGTGTAAAGAATGGTGATAGTTTAACCATTATGCCTATACAAAACAGTTTAATCTGATATGTCTTGTAATATTGAAATCCAATACAGAAATGCAGATGTTAATATTTAACTCATTATTCTATATTAATTGTTGAGTTCTCTACAACAGTATTTTAACAGAAGTATCAAAATATTACGGTACGGAGAACCCTGAAGACGAATGGTGGATATGTTTATGGAATATATATATTGCCATGTATAGGTTTGGTTAAACTTTAGGCCCTTTATTATTTCTAACTTATGTAAATGACATGCAAATCAGTATAGATCCTGCTTGCAAACTTATTGTGTATGCTAATGACAGTACAATTCTCTTTTCTCACTCTGACCCAAACAAATTATCAACCAAATTTGGCCAATTTCTAGAATCATGTTCAGATTGGCTAGTTGATAACAAACTGTCATTACATCTGGGGAAAACTGAATGCACCCTCTTTGGAACTAAGAAAAAGCTAAAAAATGTTGGAACAGTTTGAAATTATTTGTAATGGTCATACTATTCTGATGCAACCTTCATCAAATATCTTGGTTTGTCCATTGATTGCTTTTTATCTGGTGAATGTATAGTCAACAGCATTGTACAAAAAGTAAGTAGTAGACTTAAATTTCTATATAGGCAAGTTCTCTTCCATTATCAACCAGGAGAATCTTATGCTCAGCCATAATACAGTGTTGATTACTCTTGCTCATCCTGGTACTCTGTTTAACTAAAAAAATAAAACATTAAAAGACTGCAGGTTTCACAAAATAAAGTTATTAGATTTATTCTTAAATTAGATTCAAAGTCCAGAATTGGTTACAATGAGTTCTCTAGTCTAAATATGCTTAATGTTAGTAACAGAGTAAAACAATTCAGAGTAAACCATGCTTTAAATATTTTTAATGACAAATGCCCCCCCCCCTATTTAAAAACTGACTTCAAAAGGCTAACAGAACTGCAGCAACACTATACAAGATCTAGTGAATACAATTTTTTATATTCCAAATGTGAGCGGGGCAGAATCTACCACGTTTTATTACAATGCTGCTTAAGATTGGAATTCTTTACCAGAAAATATCAGGAAGATCAAGAATAAAAGTTACGATCAAAAAACATCTTTTTGAAAAACTAAAAAGAGTACAGGATCAGACATTTGTATTTTATTAACGAATATGTTCTATATATATGTTTGTGTGTATGTGAGTGTTTACACGATATGGGTGCTGTACTTCTATGCAATGTGTTTTAAGTTACAACCTATATATTAACATCAGTTTCAACATAAAAATTAAGTTATCTTCAAATAGAATAACTATACTAATTTTTATTTAAGTAACGTTAGTTAGCGTCCACTGAATTACATAACGTATCTTAAAAACTACGTGTGGCTTGACATTGTTTATGAAAGAAATAACGCAAACTGGCAATAGTCGAAAAACAAATCAACAACTTGAACAATTCAATATCTCAGTTATATGCTAGTGGGGACGCCTGGCTGGTTCATACTTCATAATACAACAAGTACGTAAGGCACCAAGGTGCTGGTACACAATGTTCTACTTGACATATTCGATTCTGATCTTTATAACCACAAACTTTCAGCAGGGTTTGAGGCATCCAAAACAAAACGTGATTGATATTAATAGCATATTTGATCAAACCGAGATATTTATATTAACTCGAATAAATTATGGTATACATAACTTCACCAATGAGGCAAGTGACATTTCACCAAATATGCTATCACTTTGCCACGCAACATCTAATAAATCAAAATGTAGCACTAGGAAAATACAACCATACATATGGACTATATTACTCATATCCGGCGATATCGAGATAAACCCCGGCCCATCAAAATGTCCATGCGGGATATGTAAACGAACCGTTGCTAGTGACCACAGAGCCATTCAGTGCGATGACTGTGATGCCTGGATACACATAAGATGCGGAAATATGACACCTACAGAATACAACAGATTACAATCAACAAGTCAATTTACATGGACATATCCACCCTGTGGGTCAATAAATTTGAGTGTAACATCTATAGACGAAAATGGCATAGACATCAGCAACCCATACAACAGCTTAACAGAAGACCCCAGCACCGACGATGATGACAATGTATTTGAGTCAACAATAAATACTTCAAGTGAAAATGATGAAGAAGAACAAAGATCCAAAAAGGGTAACAAAAACATTAAAGTAATGGCGGTAAACTGCAACAGCTTAGTGAGCAATAGAAAACAAGCACTGATTAACCAACTAATTGATGAACACAAACCAGACATCATCTGTGGATGTGAATCAAAATTAGACAACACCATTAAGAGTGAAGAAGTATTCCCTACAGACGAATATGAAATATATCGTAAAGACAAGAAAAAGGGAGAAGGAGGTGTATTCATTGCTGTAAAAAACCCACATAGTAGCCACACCTGAAACAGACCTTGATTGCCAACTCATATGGGTAAAAATACAGACAAGGACTCATCAACCTTTGTAAGTAGGCTCTTACTACCGACAGGTGAAGACTTAACCCCATTGAACGCACTAGATGAGTCCATCTCGAAATTGACCAACCGACAGTCACTCCCGAACATCCTACTAGCAGGTGACTTTAATCTCCCAGATATAAATTGGGTGGACTACACTATCCGGCGGGATAGACCCCAGTATTCCAACTCCTTGAACCAACGAGCTATGGATATATCAAAAGATAACTGTCTCCACCAAATGACTGATGAACCAACTAGAAATGATGACATCCTTGACCTAGCCATGACCACCAATCAATGATCTACAAGTAGAACCAGGAATGGGTGATCATGAAATAGTCATAACAAACATTAAAATTGGGGCACAAAGACAACGTAGACCTGAGCGAACAGTCTACCAGTATAAGAAAGGAAACATCAATGGCATACGTGATGATATAAAAGAATTTTCAGAGAAGTTCTGTGAACAAGATCACCAAAATAAAGACACCGAAGCAATCTGGGACGAATTCAAAAATGCGCTTGTAAAATCAGCTGATAAACATATACCTAGAAACAAGATCACATCAAGATGGAACCTCCCAATGAATGACACCCACAGTACGCAGACTCTGCAGACTAAGGAACGAAAATGGAAAAAAACAGCAAAAAAGACCAAGAAAACAGAAGATTGGGAGAATTACAAAACCACCGAAAAGAATGTAAAACGAGAAATCGAGAAAGCACACCGTGGACACACTGACAAATTTCTCAAATGCATCTGAAAACCCTTAAAAATTCTACTCGTACATCAAAAGTAAAAGAAGTAACTCCAGTAGGATCCCAACACTGAAAGAGAACGACAGCTTGTTATCAACACCCAAACAAGAAGCTGCAGCACTTAATAGGCAATACCAATCAGTCTTCACCAGAGAACCACCAGGAGAAGTACCAACAAAAGAGAACAGACTGACTACATCTATGACCAACATTTTTTTCACTGAAGAAGGAGTAGAAAAACTATTGAAGGACCTTGATCCAACAAAAGCAAGCGGTCCTGACAACATTTCTACAAGAATTCTAAAAGAAACAGCCACGGAAGTAGCACCATGCTTGGCAATCATTTTCCAGCACTCCTATGACACTGGACAGGTACCAAAAGACTGGAGAAATACAAATATTACAGCAATATTTAAAAAAAGGAGTAAAGTTGATACGAGTAATTATCGTCCGGTATCATTAACAAGGGTAGTATGCAAAATAATGGAACACATTATATTTAGTCAAGTCATGAGGCATCTGAATGACAAACATATCCTTGTACACTACCAGCAGGGTTTCAGAACAGGCCACTCATGTAAAACTCATCTACTTACCACCATAGAAGACATATCAAGAACATTAGACATGGGAAAACAAGTAGATATGATGATATTAGGCTTCTCTAAGGCGTTTGACACCGGCCACATAGAAGACTGCTCATGAAATTAGACCACTATGGGATAAGAGACCATACCTATGAATGGATCAGACAATGGCTAACAACAAGGAAACAAAGAGTGGTCTTAGATGGTGAATCCTCTTCTGAAGCCCATGTCGACTCCGGGGTACCCAAAGGCACAGTCTTGGAGCCCTTGATGTTCTTACTCTAAACGATATCGGCGAGGGAATAAAATCAGAGGTTAAGCTTTTCGCAGACGACTGTTTTATTATACCGAACCACTGACTCTGAAGCAGACACCAACCAGCTGCAGGAAGACCTAAGCAAAATGACAGAGTGGTCCAAGACTAGGCTAATGCGATTTAATGCCAAAAAATGCTATGTCATGAGACTTAAACGATCGAGACAGACCATCAGAGCAAACAACAGGTACAACATTGATGGAAGCACACTCGAGGAGGTAGATCACCATCCATACCTTGGAGTGAAACTAGGGAATGACCTCACTTGGAACCACCACATTGATCAGATTACATGTACCACCAAAGCATCTGGAATATTGGCATTCCTTAGGAGAAACCTGAACAAGTGCAGCAAGGAAGTGAAAGAAAAGGCATATACAACACTCATACGCCCCAATCTGGAATATGCATCATCAGTTTGGGACCCTTTTCGCCAATACCAAATTGACTCTGTTGAAATGGTCCAACGCAGAGCAGCTCGATTTGTAACTGGTCAGTACAGTCGCTACCAAAGTGTCACATCAATGTTCCAGGAGCTTAAATGGACACCTCTACATCAGAGACGACAAGAACAACGGCTGACTAACCTTTAAAAATGCTTGAATAACAGCAACGCGCTGAAAATACCACCATCTGTAGTACGACCATCAAGGACAACAAGAGGACAAAATAGCATCAGCTTTATCCCAGTCAGCTGTAATTATGACAACTACAAGTACAGCTATTTCCCGAAGACAATACTGGAATGGAACAACTAACCAGAGAGGGTCATCAACCAGGATACTGTAGAGGCATTCAAGACCGCACTCCACAGTTTCATTGACGAGCAATAAAGTGGTGTAGTAAATAGTTTTAACTGTATGAATACTAGAGATTTCATGTGAGTTGATGCTGTTTGACGGCCTTTCACAGTATTCCAGTAAATGTTAATGTAGTCAGGGCCCACTTGCATAAAACATCTCAACTCTTGAGATTTCCTCAAGTCTAAGATTTCCCATAGACAATACATTGCTTGAGATTTTCCTTAACTTTGAGATGTTTTATACAAGTGGGCCCAGCATTTTAGTTTCGGCCAGGTACGTCTGGACCCCTCAATCTACACGTGCCGAATTTTCCTGAGGTCAGCCTCGGTTCAGATTTGTACCTGTCGTTTTCTTTATAGGTTCAACCGGTTCAACCGTTTCAACCGGATACGCGAATATACCCTTATATAATTTTATATTAATATGTTTTATATTGTAATCAGTTATATAAATTATTAGTGTCAAAATATGTATTGAGTACTGTATGAATTGTTATATTGTTGTACCTTTTTACCAACTAAACTTTAATTGAATTGAAGTTAAATTATAAAAGTCCTTCTCCTAGGCTACATTCGCGTATACCGGTTGAAACGGTACGTGTGGCGCAGAAATTTTCCACGATAAACGAACGCGCTTGGACCGTTCTATAAGCAGAGCTAAAAATGCACACTTTCGGAGAATTAAAAACAATATATCAAGAATAATATGCCCTTCTTCCATCCGTCCACTAAATTACATAACGTATCTTAAAAACTACATGTGACTTGACATTGTTTAAGAAAGAAATAACGCAAATTGACAATAGTCAGCAATTTAGTTTCGGTCAGGTACGTCTGGACCCCTCAATCTACACGTACCAAATTTTCCTGAGGTCAGCCTCGGTCCAAATCTGTACCTGTCGTTTTCTTTACAGGTTCTACCGGTTCAACCGGATACGCGAATGTACCCAAAGAGTGAGTTGCAGAGAGTCGAGGGATTACCGTATTTACTGTAATAAGTGCACCTACCATTTTATTTACCATCGTATGACATTGCCACTTTATAACCCTACAGCAGTCCGATTGCATTCCTATAGTCTATGAATACATGAGCTCATTTTAAATTGTTGACGTCATCATTTAATTATTACGACGTCATAATTGACCATTACGTTGAATGTCACTGGCTCTCCCTGAACAGATGCCAGCCCGTTCTATTAATTGAACAAACAGATATAATATTATGAATACATTATTAGAACATATTGCTTAATAATAAAAAATCATTGTAATTGAATTTTCTATGAGATAATATAAACAGATTCCAAAAAATGGTAAATATAAGCAGAGACGTATAAATACTTATACGTCTCTGATATAAGTATGGAACTGCCCTCGATTTCAGTCGCATTCACAGGAAATATGTGTGCCAACTTAAAGAAGTTCAATAATATAAGTGCCCTCCCATATTTGAGCACTTTACTAACCCCCTCGAACCCCCCC